TAAAAAACCACAAATACATCACTCAGAGGAATATTTAAAGGAGCATCAGGAGGGGAGAAACTCATTGGTTTAATGGAATGCTGTCAAGAAAAATCAGCATCAGAAATGACACAAGGGCAGAATTGATACTTCTGCACTGACACGTTAAAAGAAAATCCCATACATTATTTAGAAAACCTCGAAATCTGTCAGCAGTATGATTGCCGAGTTAGCAGAAGCAGGAGGGAAGGGGCTCGGAGTTGAAAAGAAAAAGCATAGGCATGGATCCATATTGTAACCTTTCATGTTCTACACCCACCACAAGTACCTAGCTATTACACGGTCAGCATTCCCTCCCCCCTCCCTTTTAAAAATCCCCATTTTAAAAATCTCAAGTCGAAAGTGGTAGGTGTTTTATTCAAAAAAGCAGGCTGCCTAAGCTGTTATTTTGTTGTAAGTATAAAGATGACAAGATCTAAGAAACACGGTGTGTGCGTTTTGTTTTGTTTTTTTAAAGAATCTTTTTTTAATGCCTTTGCTGATTTCCTAAAGTAGTTCCCCCTGCCGCCACCCCCATCAGTAAAATAGGCATAATGTGGCCATGTTTTGCTTATTTAAACACATCAGTAATATATGGACAGTATTATATTCCAGTGGTGCCAATGTTTAATTCTCTATATTATATATCTTTATCTACCCACATATGTCTAATGGCCAAATAAAAGCACCTTGATTTTTGTTTTTGTTTTTTAATCTTTATGTTATATTTTGCAAGAGAACTTATCCCAAAAAGTATACTCTGGGCAAGGATACATTTTATGGACATTGAACATCTCTCCCTGCCCTGTTTTGACCCCCCCCATACCAGCCAAAAAGGTCCAGGTGTCAGTGGGAAAAGAAGACTTGTCCCTATTTCAAAAGCCACTTTGACAGGAATTCTGCACATCTAAGCATGAAGGACGGGGCTGGCTCCAGGTCTCAGATTCCCCTAGTAAACTGTCCTCTTGTGGGGTGCTCTCCTGTCACAGGACCCCTGTGGATTTCCGTGGCTGCAGGCCATGCGGGGTGATCCTAGATCTGGGACAATGTGAGGTATTGAAGGGATGACTGCTTGGTGTGCTAGGCATATAAGGGGGCCAAGTAGTAGACCCTGCTATGGACCTGGGATCCTGGCAACTCTTCAGTGTGCATCAATTTTGTTGTCATAGCAAATCAGTTGAGCTCCCTTTATCCCCTCCTAACTTTGACAGGAGCAAGGCAGGCAGGCTGTTGCAGCACCAAGGACAGCTCCTAGTCCAACTCTCCTACACTCAACTCCTTCTTGAGTACTGTACTACTACTACTTGTTAATTGCTTGTTAGCCAAAAATCTCCAAGCAACTTACAGCACATATAAAAACATAAACAGAAGTACATTATACCATTTTTTAAAAAAAAAATCAGACAAAACACCTGCCATTTATTGATAGACAGGTGTGTGTGCATTTGTGAGCGTGTACGCATGTGCACACACACCTTCCTATCTATCTTCCATCCATCCATATATACACAAAGCAGCCATACATTACACCTGTTGGAAGCTTTGGCAGCACACTAGTAACAAACCATCATTTCAGTCTATCAAAAACCCAAGAGAAATTCTAAGTCTTGACTGGTGCTGAAAATATGTCAGTGGAGGCACCAGACAGATCTTGCTGGAGAAAGCATTCCACAGGTAGGGAGTTACAACCAAAAATGACCTTTCCTTTGTCACCACCCTTCATCACAGCAGGGCCTTGGTGAAGGGCCTCAGAAGAAAACCTAAAGGTCTGGGTAGGTTCATATTGGGGGAGGTGTTCCAGAAGGTACTGGGATCCTGAGCTGTAAAGAGCTTTATAGGTCAAAACCAGCACTTTGCATTGGGGTTTGAAGTATACCGGCAGCAAGTGTAATTAGAACAGAGTAGGTGTTATATGATCTGTTCGCCTGAAACCTGTCAACAGTCAGGCAGATGCGTTCTCCACTAACTGAAGCTTCTGGACTTAGTACTGGAGTCTCTCAAAGGACTGACCCACTGGCCTGTTGGCAGGCACTTCTTCTGCCCCCCATGGCTTCCCACCTGCACTGTCGGACTGGTGTGGTGGGGCTGGAGACACTCGGTTTTTCAGACCCATGGGAAGGCACCCATGATGGTCCTGACTCTGGTTCTACAAGGCCTAATGTATGGGATGTGGTCCATCAGGCTCCTGCCTGCAGTTTCAGGATTAGTGGTCGCCTAATCACCTAGCCTAGCTCTTTAGCTGTTGTTACTGTGGCCTCCAAGTCCGCATGGTGGTCACTACTTTGGGGTCATGTCTCATTGGCAGGGAGTTAAACTAGATGATATTTGATCCCCTCCTGCCAAATATTATGATCCCATAAGATGATTCTTGTTAATATCTTGTTGTACAGTGCTATGAAGTGGTTTATAAATTTGCAAAATAATAAATAAAATCACTAATAAAATAAACTCTCTGCTGCCAAATGATTAGAACTCTTGCTCTTTTTCATGACAATAAACTAGAAGATAGGTGTTAAATGTTTCTTTTGTTGTTTAAGCTGCTCTGCTTCCATCATACCCCCTCCCACAGAAATATTTGGGAGAACCCCTCTGATAGATGGGAAATACTGTGCATCATATGCCCCCATTGCACAAAAGGTGTAGTTTAGCAATCTGCCAGATTAGCAGGATGCTTACTGAGATAGCACGTGCTCCGATTGGCTGAGTTTACCCGAGAGGGTTTTCTTTTGCATGGTTTGATTGAATGTCTCCTTGTTACATACAAGGCCTGAAGTAAGAAAGACAAAACCTCTCTGTTCCTTTCTCCTCAAATTATACACTGTTTTTGTTGAGGTTTCCTTAGTGAAGTGTTATCAGGATTCATTTCCTCTTTGGACTCCCATCTGTGTTATTTAAGTGGGTTTGCCAACACCTACCTGTAACACACGACACTACTAACAAATGTCTCCAGAATGAATTGTGAGTAAATGTATGGCCCAGTTCTTCCGGGAGAAGAAGTTTGCTTGCCGCAGCTCATTTGCATATGTCAGTTCATATTCCTGGTTATCAAATTAAAAATTGCCTGCTGCCATTCTTAAAGCCGAACTTAAGTAAGGTGGCAAAAATCCATCCAGGCCAATTTGGAACCAGTTCAGTCATTCCTTAAGGCATGTGTGATAGTCAAATGTACTAGAGGAATATTTGGGAAAGCAGACTGCATGTCCACTTTTAAATATTTGACCCAAATGGCACTGTTAAAGTTAACCATGTGAGTCAGTATCAAGAACATATCATTGCAAACTTGTCATCAGCTGTTAGCACCATTTTAAATAAAAGTTAGTTGTTATTTATTTAAGGCATTTATATACCACTTCGTTAGGGACGCGGGTGGCACTGTGGGTTAAACCACAGAGCCTAGGACTTGCCGATTAGAAGGTTGGCGGTTCGAATCCCCGCAACGGGGTGAGCTCCTGTTGCTCGGTCCCTGCTTCTGTCAACCTAGCAGTTCGAAAGCACGTCAAAGTGCAAGTAGATAAATAGGTACCGCTCCGGTGGGAAGGTAAACGGCATTTTTGTGTGCTTCTCTGGTTCGCCAGAAGTGGCTTAGTCATGCTGGCCACATGACCCGGAAGCTGTATGCTGGCTCCCTTGTCCAATAAAGTGAGATGAGCACCGCAACCCCAGAGTTGGTCACGACTGGACCTAATGGTCAGGGGTCCCTTTATTGTTACCTTTATACCACTTCATTTACTGTATATACCATGATGGCTGAGTTCTGCCAGCGCTGTCAGAGGTGGTAGTGTACCTTCTGAATACCAATTGCTGGAAACCACAGGAGAGGAGAGTGCTGTTGTGTTTGTAGACTTCCCATTAGGGCATCCAGTTGACTACTTTGAGCACAGGATGCTGGACCAGATATGCCACTGCCTGATCCAGCAGGTTCTTCTTACGATCTTATTTCAAAGCAACCTTCCACCATAGTTGCTGTTTTGGCATGGGCACAGGGCAAACGAATCCAAAATACAATCCCCAGGTAGCAGCTGTAAGACAGTGAACATACATTTGATTGCATTAGTGGTCAATACAGCAACAGGATGAGTCAGGAGAAAACTCTTAAGATGCATATAATAAGCTTTTCCCCTTGGGCTCACAAATAAATCTCAGAAATACTGACCCAAACAATAGTGAGTTCACCCGTAACTAATCTTAACAAACTTATTTTTTTACTTCACTTGAAATTCCTTCCCTTATTAGAAAATTCTTTTATTGTTAAATCTTGATTGCGACTTAAGGACATGAGGGTATGGCTTGATGAATCAGTCAGAAACCAATCTGGGTCGCTTACGCATATGGTCATTCAATCCTGCTTCTACATTAATTTGTATTACTTTTTTAAAAGCTTGGAAATTCACATTTTAATACACATTTTAAATACCCACCCCCACAAATATGAATATCCAGTGCTTTGGGGGGGGGAGTACTCAAGGTTACCCAGTACCGGCACCCACCCGCACCCACATTTTAAAAGCATGGCACTCACTGTAAGAACTTGATGTTGAGTTCTGGTACCTTTTTTTTTTACCTTTCTTAAAAAAATATCTAACAGAACAATCCAAAACTAGGAGAGGAAGAACCAATGGGAGGTAAGCCACTTTTTTCTGTAGCCTGCAAAGCTCGTGCTTGCATGAGAGTCAGGGGGATGTACATTTCTCCTCCCTTCCCCCTTCCTATTCCATTAAAAATGAAGAGCAATTTCCCTTGCATTTATTCTGGTGGGAGGGAAATAAATTTTTCCAGCTTCAAGGTTGGTGTAATTCATCCTTCTTTCTGGGTGCATGTCAGAGGACTTTAAAACCTGTGGATCCACAGTGTCAGCTAGCACTCTTCCCATACACCCCCAGAATACCTTCTCTGATGTTGAAGTTCCAGTGTTGAGGGACACCATCTGTTGGCCGTTTTGGAACCTCTCAGAGGAGGCATGTGAGCCTGGGTCTCCCGCTCTGAGGTCCATAGCTCAGTGGAAGAGCATCTACTTTGCAAGCAGAAGGTCCCAGGTTCAGTCCCAGGATCTTCAGGTGGGACTGGGAAAGATACCTTCTGGAATCCAGGGCAGCCACTTCCAGTCAGGGCAGACAATACACAGCTAGGTGGATCAATTGATTCAGTATAATAAGGCAGCTTCGCTTGTTCCTGTATTTTTGTTGAAGTTGGAATTTGCTGGAAACTCTAAAAATTAACAACAAAATATTAAATTATTAAATCTTAGTGTTCCATAAGATGGCCTAGTGATGAGATTCAAGTGGGACAGAACTTTTTTAAAAACAACAACAAAAAAGCCTCTTCCAAATGAAGAGAGTGCCTATATCTGTCACATTTTTTCGTTTCCTTAACAAATTTATAGTATTTGAGTGCAGAGGTCTAACACTTCAAAGCATAAAAAAGAGAAAAGACATTCAGCATTCACTAATCTTCACCCCCCCCCCCCATTCTGCTATCTTCTTACAGCAGCACTAATGGAAATGTATTTTGTTTAATGACTCTGAAATCCTGTTTGTAATTAGATGTGGGAATTGGTCTTACTTTGTAACAGATGATACTGGAATAATAATATGAGAGATGCTACACTGAGACCACTCTCCTCCTAAATCTATATCATCTTTCAAGCTATTGACAGGAAATGTGTCCGAGAAAACATAGAAAACATAAGAGATTGATTTTTTTAATAAAGAAAAAGGCAGGAGTGTGTCTGATCCGGCTTTATTCCTCATCAAATTATTTATGGGTTTACGTAGTAAACCATTTTGTTTTTGTTTTTCATTCAGACCTGAGTATTTTAGGAGCTCATGTGGTGGGAAGGTTAGTGAGGCAATGCTTGCAAAAAGTGTGAGTTCCATTTCGGTCACACTTAGAGTGCTGCTCTCTTCAAAACCTACATTCATTGCAAAGGCCAGATGTGACCCTCCAGGCCTCTCTCTATCTGGCCCCTGGAACCCCTGGATCTGGCCCTTGGAACAGGCTACACCCTTCCTTAGTCCTGCTTCAAATCCTAGGTGTTTTCACTTGGCCCAAACATGTCTCAGGAACTCTGATAAAGCCTCTTGCTTCCCTGGATAGAGGATAGAGAGGGGTGTTTGTAGAAATGAGTGTACTCAACAGAGGTACAATTGGCATTAATTGCAGTGCCCTCTTTTGCATCTGAACTCGCTTACATCTCTGGCATGTGGCCTTCAGAAGTTTGAATAGAATGTGCGCCTTTGGGCTGAAAAGGGCTCCTCATACCAGGTTTACTGTGAAGCCCTTGTGAACCCCTACTTCTCATGTCATGCTGTAACGTGATCTCTGAACAAAAGTTTTCGGATAATAAAATTGTAGAGTTGGAAAGGACCATGTGGGTCATCTCATCCAACCCCCTGCAATGCAGGAATTTTTACCCAACGTGGGGCTCGAATCCACAACCCTGAGTCTGTTGACTGAGCTATCCAGCTGAAGAAGTCACCCATCTTTTCCCTGTTTACCCCTCCCTATAGTTCTGTCCCTTTCCTTACCTATGTTGCGTTTTAGATTACAGGCTCCTTTCATTTTCTATGAAGTGCCGCACACATTGATAGAATGGAATAAACAAACAAATAGCAAGAACAATAATTTTTGCGTGGCGACAAAGCACTGATGCCCTTAAGAGTTACCCCTTGGCAATTGTTTGACTGATGCTCTCCCTGAAAGGTACAAAGCTCTTTCAATGTTCCAAGAGTTAAGCTGCCTATGCACCCTGGATCAGATACTTGAATACAGACAGGTAAAGGTAAAGGGATCCCTGACCATTAAGTCCAGTCGTGGACAACTCTGGGGTTGCAGCGCTCATCTTGCTTTACTGGCTGAGGAAGCTGGCGTTTGTCTGCAGACAGTTTTTCCGGGTCATATGGCCAGCATGACTAAGCCGCTTCTGGTGAACCAAAATTCTATATGAGAGTGGTTTGGAGTGGATGCATAAAGGCTGGATTACAAGATTTCCCCAAGGGGAGCACCATTTTCCATGACCTCTGTTCATTTTGTCTCCCTCTGTTTGGGGGTGGGAATGTATCATTGGGCTGAATTCCATTTTTTGCTAGAAATGAGTTTCACAGGGGACAGCTGAGAAATTGTGTGGTTCCTATTTATTTGTTGGTTTAATTTTTTCAGCCCCCTGAACAAGTAGCTCAGGTTTCTTATGCTTCATAACTAAGCAGTAAGAAGGTTCTGGCCATTTCCTAATTATTGCATTGGGAAGGTGCACATGACAATGATTAGTGTTTCCAAACATCTACTGATGTGGAAGCTCTTTGCTAGAACTTAAGAAATTACTCTGTATGAATGTGTACGTGTGATACTGTCATTCTATCTGAGCAGTAAAGGAGACAGTCCAGATATTTAGCTTCATAATCAGAAGCAGGGAGAAGGAATGAAATCTGAATAAAACACTCCCCAGAACCCAAAAAATGTTAAACAGTTTATCCCGTCCGATCAACCGCACGCGCAAAACTGAAACCGGAACGAGCGTTCTCTCTTTGGATTTGCAACTCCCATGCTGAGCGCAAGACGTTTCTGCCAGCTATACAGCTGCCAACAGCAGGAGCCACATAAATGCCAATTTTAATCAGAGCTGATTTTATCAAACCCACATGCAACAATAAAAAAAATACTAATTTATGTAGAAGGCAGCGATGTTTCCTGACAACATGAACATTAATTGTCTCATTGATTGCTTCTCTATGTATATGTATAGACCCAGCTGGTTCCAGGCTTTTGGAAGGCCCTGGGCAAGAGACCATTAAAGGACCTTGACAAATAACCAGCTAGGTGTGGAGGGGATCTAGGGCCTGCAAACTGAAAAAAGACACCCCCACCAACTATCCCTAGTCATCTGTAGCACATTTTTTTACTTTGCACGGGACTTTGGCTCATTTGTACTACTTTTTCAGTTTGAAAAGAATCACAGTCATTAACAACGAACATCTAAGGCAGATGACTATTGCTCTCGCTGCACTTCAGAGGAAAGCTGAAGAAGTCACCCCATCCTATCACCTACCAGGTGACATGTTTAGTCCATGCCTGCTGATGTGTGAAAGGATGGGGTTAAACCCTACATTGGCTGTGCATGTCTGTTCCCAGCATAGAACCAGTGTGAGCAGCCAAGGCGGCAGGATTTGACTGCTACTCGTCGGCTGGGAATTAAATCTTGCTCAGTTCAGTAGAATTCCATGCAACCCCCTTTCTTGATTCAGAAGAAGTTTGCATGCGAACCCCTGAGAACAGGAAAGCCTCCCACCCTTCATTTTAGCAGGGGCTTCACCCCCTCTCGACAACTGATGGAAAGGGATTAAATTCTTGCCTGCACAAACTTGTTCCCAGTAGGGAATAGCCACATGTAGCCAGAGAAAGCCATCTCCCTCCCTCTATCAGGAGGAGTGATAAAGTGATTGGCACTTGTCAATGTGCTGAGCACAGGGCTAGCAGTGGGCCTTCTGTTTCAGTTCCCAAGCACCAGCCACCAGCCAGCTTACTATTAGATGCTTGGGAACATTGCTTAAGAGATTTCGACCAGTTGGCAGGACAGCCCACCTGTTGAACGTATGACACAAATGGCAGGTGGGTGATTCCCCACCCTTAACTGAACAACAACAGCATGCACCAAGGGTAGCTAACACAATGCACTGCCATCAGCCCCAGCCAGCATGCTCAAAGGTCTGAGTGTTGGGAGCTGAAGTCCAGCAGCATCTTCAGGACACCACACTGACCACCTCTGCTTGTTGCTATTCTCCAATACTTCTGTGTAATAGCTGAGCAAACTTGGTAAAACAAATGATGCACCAGTTAAATAAATAAATAAATAAATAAATAAATGCATGAATGAATGAATGACTGACTGACTGACTGACTGACATGCTGTGTGTATACATCTGTGTCACTATTTTATGATATGCATTGAGAAGGCAAGGTAATAGCTGGCCAGCTGCATTTTGGCACGTATTTTTCATACCAGGTAGTGATGGTTGCTGGTGTGAGTCCATTAATCTGGCACTATTAAAAACCTGGCCCAATCTACACCATAGCAATTTGCCAAATCAGCATTAATTAACATTGCAGTTGTGCTGCCATGTTGCTTCCAGGAAACACAAATGTGTCCCAAGAACAGAAGTGTCAGGCCTAACATATTTTCCCTTCTAATTTTATGACACTTTTCATTTGAATGGATTTTTCTAATTGAAAACATACACATTTTACGTTTTTGACATGAGATGCAGCACATGCAGATTTGCTTACTTTGTTTGATATATGCGGGTTGCAGAAATGCTTTACAACTCTGTGCAACCCCCCCCCCAAAGCTCAGCAACTCAGCCATCTCCCCCCTGCTCAATTTTTTCTTAAATTTGAGTTCCCCAAAATAGGGGGGAATCTTATACATGGGGGTGTCTTATAGATGGAAAAGTACAGTATCTGTGGCCCTTTTGCATGGGTAGGATGTTTTAATCTAGTTTTTTAAAGACAGAATGGTCTTTCAGATTATTATTTTAAACACTGGTTTTAATGTATGTTTATGTTTGTTTTATGCTTAAAATATTGTAAGCCACTTTGACTTGCCATGGCAAAAAAGTGAGTAATAAATGTTAGTAATTATTATAACTGTAAAACAAAACCAACTAGAGTTATTCATTGCATCAGAACTTGGGGAACTCTGGGTAGTCTGAACTCTGGTTTGTTTAAGCCACTGTTTGATTCTTTCGGATTTCTGAAAAAATGGCTAGAGGAGAGTGTGTGCTAAGTCATGACTTCATGTTGCATCTCAATTAAATTAGAATGCTTTTATTTATTTATTTATTGTGCCCAAAGCAGAGAGTTGCTACAGACGATTGGAAGATCTGCATGGATTCAGACATGCACATGTATCTGTTGCTCATAGGAATGTGAGGCTGGATCACTTCACTTTGTTGAAATCAGTGGTTAAAACATTTGCTCGTTGTGTACCTGTTGGGCCTCTTGCATTCGGAAAAGATGGCAACTGTGTGGCAGTTATAGAGCATCCATTGTGCAAATGGATAGCCCAGATAGC